TTACTAACCTAGTTATAAGAAATTCTGAAAGATTAGACTGATTTAATAAGATCTCCCTCATCTTTAGTGTGCTTGTACACAAAATGTCTGACCCTACCAGTCATAAAACAACGGTAAAATAAGCAGACTAACTGTGTAAGAAATATTTGGAACCTTCTTTTGCTCTGTATTTATGCAGTACCTAGCATAAAAGTCTAGTCCACAGCCAGGTACTGATTCCTAGAATAATTCAGTAGCCGAATGTAAGCAGAAAAGACAAGCTATAAAAGAGCAAAATATCATTACTAAATTAGAAACACTGTACTTCAGTTTTCATTTCATAGTCACATTTTGGAGATGGCAAAGACCTATTTTAGACAAACTTCATGCAGTACTATTTCACTGCTATGGGTAACAGCCACTATGCAAAGCATGAACAAAAAGCTAAGACAAGTCTCCTAGCTAGTGCACAGGCGTTAACAAAAAGGCCTGAACGAAGTACTCTCAGATCTTCATCCAAAAATCTGAAGGGGGGGCAGGAGGGAAGGTTTTGTGAAAAAGCAAGGAGTATTTGCAAGGTAAGCAGAGGAGCAACAGTTAAGAGACTTCACAGAACTCAGTGTGTACATGGTATTGTGCTTGGGAGAACTGAAGCACTGCCTTTGGCTTTTAACAGGCTACAAGAGTCCCAGGGAGGAAGAATTTAATCTCAGGTGCAGTTCTGATGTGCATCTTATAACCTCAAAATTAGGGCATCAAATGACTACAAAGACTTCTGAAGCTTGAGAAATCTACAGGAACCAGCAGTTCAGTTCACTCAATAGAACCACGTCCTGAAATAGGAATGGGCCAGGACATAATATAGGCTGATTGACTTAAACTAATAATTATGTCCAAATTTTAGGAAGCAACTAAAACTGCAGGCCAAAAGAGGCAACAACATTGTGCCTCATTTGTTTAAAATCAAAGGCTTCTTCAGTGTTTTCAAAGAACTCAGGTTCACTGCTGTAATAAAAAAGGGATCTCACTTCAAGGTTAGTATTGCTTCACAGCAACAGGCTTTTTCTCTCTACTCAACCTTCTAACCTTGTTAGCCACAGTTGGTAAAAGAGAATACTAGTAGGTGAAAAAATTGTGTAACACCTTGAAATGCTCTCAGGAGCACCAGTGTGAACAATATTCAGGAAAAAACATAATTCAAGTGAACAGGAGGGACAAACCCATTACTAGAGAAAATTTCTGCTTAGTTTCAGGTACTTAACAAATATCCTAAGACACAGGAAATCAAGACTTCTGATTTTTATGGCATGACAAAAAAGCAGAAAGGAAACAAGGTCTGGCCCAAAAATTAACCACCGCACAGTCACAGAGAAGTTTCAAAAAACCCCAAATTCTTCAACATATCTCTTTTTTTAAAACAGATTTTAGCATTTAGATAGACTTGCGGTGACTTTCAACTCCAGACTACCTCTTCACCAACTTGCTACTCTTACTAGCACTTCAATTTCCAGATGGAAACAACTGCAGTCAGTATTCTAAAAACATCCAGAATGTGAAGTCTGACACATCCTCTTGTTATGTTACTCTAAGTGATCTTTAAACCACTTTTAGCATTTAATAAAAATAAACTATCCTCACTGTACCAGCTTCAAGCACTTCAAGTTAACACGGTCATGCAGTTCAGCCCTTTAACGCATCAGTTACCAAGGGACTGGAACCACCTAGAAAACTGAGTCAAAAGATGAGTTAAAAAAAGATTACTGTGCAATTATTTGGAAAATTAATTCATGTAAAATACAATACTGCATGCCTGTTTTAGAGTTCTATATTGCAACAGTTAACATTTTCTTACGCTACATATTTTTCTCAGTGCAAACAGTCCTCCCTTATGAGGGACATACTGATCTCATACACAACACACTGTATTCACAACTTGAGAACTATGACCTTACAGGAAGGTATGCACCCCAGAGAGAGCGGATAAGGAACACAAGAGGGAAAAACAGCAAAAAAAACGTATCAGTCAAATTATCAGAGGTGATAAAAAAAGAGAAAGCTTCCACCTGTCTTTAGACCCCAAAAGCTGTTTCTATTTTAGCATAACTAAAATCTTAATTCTCCAGTGGGTCTTTTGTATTTTGGACCTCATCAGAAGAGCCGCTTTGCAGCCTGCTACCTTTGATACCACCAGGTAACAGCTGTTAGACTGTTCCAGCTCTGCCAACTTTATCTAGAACAATGAAATGGAGGATCTTGTAGTGTACAGCTTCAAAGCACCCACAAGGTAACAATGCTATTCTGATTCTGGGAAAGATGCATCAGTTTCAGAACAAGACAGCCTTTTTCTCTCAACTAAAATCTTCAGCAAATATTCCATATTACTATGCTAGTTTCATGTTTGAGCTCTGTTACAGTTCTAAGAAGCAGCAAGTGTAATATATTTCTAATGTCACAGTCTTGTTAGTAAAATGGTGGGTTTCATCCAGAAATAATTTAAAGACCTGAAGAAATAATATGGAGGAAAATCTTGCTGTGTAAAGGAACCCAGACAGCACCAGTCTAGGTTTTCTAGAAAACCTACTCTAGGTTTTCTTCTCTTTATGCTTAACTGAAAATTACACCATTTCCTTACTGCCACACTGGCAGCTTGTACCCTTAGGCAAGCCTTCCATGACCAGCAAGCACAGAATTGTAGGTGCCCCTAAACATTTCATTGAGGAAGATGTCTTCACTCAACAAGGTTTGTAAAGAGCATCACTGTGAAATGGCAAGTAAAATAACAGTTACAGAATCCCCTAAAGCTATAAACAAAAAACCCCTAGTCCCTAGTGCATTTTATTCTTATTCAGGCATCTCAAACCTGTACGAGTAGGCTAGGTATCCTAGTGCTCTTTACAATGGCCACTGATTCTTCTGAAGTACCTGTCCACTGGGGGAACCAAGACAGTGGAATACATGATTTTTTTTTTAATACTTTCTTCTTTTTTTTTTTTTTTGACATACAAGAAAAGTATGATGTCAACATTGCCAGTGATACTAGAGGAATAATTGGACAGTTAGTATCTGGCTATTCCATTTATTTCCTTTGGAAATTTTATGAACGTAGTTCTAAGTTTATCTTAGTTCACAGAGCTGAGAACAGTTAGAAGAGGCAGTCAATCAAAAAAAGGAAAACTACAAAATTAAACTTTCCTAGTGAGTATTGAGTGAAAATTAGGAATGAAGAAGAGAGAAAAAAGTTACAGAAATAAAAACGAGGCTCCTGGAAGCAGACTTTTTTTTTTTACATGCATTTATCAATTTTCTTGACATACAATTTATTTTACTAGCTGATGATTCCCAGGCCTACAATGAAAACCTCACAGGAACATAGGGGTAGAAAGCTGGTAACTCATTTTGAGAGCATTTTCCTCTCACGATGAAATACATAAAGTTACTCATAATAAGCAACATTTACCCCTCACCCTTCCCCTGTAAGTTTATTTTTTGTCTCAGTTGAAAGGATCAGCACTAAAAATAAAAGCTTTATGCACATTTAGTATGTTGACCATTTTGGTTTTGTTGAATAATAAAATTACTCAGCCACATTCAGTACACAGCCACATAGGAGTTAGCAGTCTTATTAATTACACAACTCTTCTCTTTATTATTGTGGCTATGTCCTTCCAGGCTGCCTCATCATAACGATCAGTCAAAACAGAGGTGCCAAAACACTTTGGCGGGGGGCGGGGGGTTGGGAAGTGTAGATCTTTATTCCTGAAACAAACATATGTTAAATACAGAAAATCCAAAAGATGTGGACAACTGAATCCGTTTCTCATTTCCAGATAGCCAGTTCTTTACTACTGTTTAGAAGAGGCACTATTTCACCAAAGATTAAGTGTGACAGCCCCTTCCCCCAGTGTTTACTGTGAACACCCTGCAGGCAAAGAAGCCCTGTCTTCCACAGAAGGGCTGCAACATCCCCAGCTGTGAAGATGGGAGCAAACTACCATCATGTTTGTAAAGCACCACCCCTTTTACTCTCAGGGCTCACATTTCTAAATCGGAGTAGAAGGACTTCCAAAGGCCTAGAGACTCATCCAGTATAAATCCACTGCCAGTTCATAAGCCTACAACTAATGTTTTAGGGCTACTGCAAAAAAAAAAAAAAAAAAATTATAACTCCAGATTAAAAAGTCCTGTATAACAGTTAATAAAAATGCAACTTTAGAAGGGGTCTTCCTACTGTAATGTAAACATCTGCTGTTTGTCAGTTTTTCAGATTTGATGCCAAGGTGTTGGCTGAATTTATCAAATCCAATGTGATGCCAACGGATTTGATGCCAACACCTTAGATCTAATGACACAGAAACGTGCATCTCTTGAACTGACTGCTTCTTAAAAGCACTCTGTGAAATCTACACTTCCATACGACTTTTGTCAAATAATTTACCTCGGAATAAAACTGGGGATGCAATTACAGCTATCTTCTTGGGCACATCATTAAAAAGAATAAAATAAAACATCAGGTTTACCTTCTCTTATGAGCACGTTTGGTTGACCCTTCCTTTCCTAATGCTGTCTTTTACACATATTATGAAGACTGAGAAAACCTGAACTTTTTGGTGATCTGAAACACAGTATTACCAACTGTACTGTTGAAGAAAGTATTAGGTGTGAGCATGTGTGCAAAACAGACAATTTCATAAGCAACGTGTAAACCCAGCCTTTTCTATCCCATTGTGACTTTCTGAGTTTGTATACCTCTATACTCAGATCAATCTTGTCTTATTAAAATAATTAGCTCTGCAAGAACTACAATTCGTTAAAGCAGATTTCCTATAAATTTGAAACTAAAAGATACTAATATTTTCTGTTATTTCTGCACATGCTTATAAAATGGACCTGTTCTTACTCTCTCTTTTCCCCTCTCCCCCTCATCATCCCTCTGCTGCTTCAAAAGGTCCGTCCTTTCGTCGCTCTTTACCCCGCTCCTCCTCATCCTTTCTTTGCTGATTCTTGGCCTTCTTGGTCCTTACCTCGCTCATTTTCCCTCTTCTCATCTTCCCTGCGCCAATTCATAGCGTCCACATTCTTTCGTCGTTCTCTCTCATCCTGTCTCCACCGCTTCTTGATATCTTTGTCCTTAACTTGCTCATTTTCTCTCCTCTTCTCATCATCCCTGTGCCATTTTATTGTTTCTGCATTTTTCTGCGGCTCCACGCTTCTTTTGAGATAGTCTTGTCGCCTCCTCCTCTTTTTTAACATATCCCTTTCCCTGGCACGAGCCTGCTTTTCTTTCTGGGAAAGAAAAGCTTTACGGGGCATCATGAGCTGCTGCTGTACCTGTAATAATATCGTATCCATGGAATAATATACTATACATGCACTCAGTCAGGCACCAACAACTCTCATTTGGAGCTGAATACTTCAAATACTATGCCAAGATAATTTACTGCTTCTTCTCTCTCCTCCATAACCCTCTGCTAGCTCCATATTAGATAACGACAGGCAAGTTGCTATGTTCAGCTCCAGGCACAACTCCTATCTGGCACCTCTGCAGTTGGCGCACAGGTAAAGTCAACCCCCTAAAATCCCGGGCCTAAGCAGTATGATTTCTTTCCCCTCCCCCTTACAACTCCTCCCACAGAGTTTTTAGCAGCTGCTTGGCATTGCTTCATCCAATTGAAGGAACAGGCTGATAGGAGAGTTGTGAAAGAAACTTGTGAACGTTCAAACCTTAGTTTCTTCTAGTACTGGAGATCTACATTTAACGAAGCTTAAAGGTGCTTATTTATCTTTTCAGACCTCCATCTCTACCAAATTTGGTTGAAAATAGCCAACTTTTTTCTTGGCTGGGAGGAGGGGGGCGGTTAGGAGACAAGCCACAATGTGAAAAATTGTATAAGCTTTGTTTCCTCGGGAAACCTGGCCAAAACATTTAACTGCAGTTAATGAAATGAGTCCTGACTCATCTACTCAAACTTCCTCCAAGTATGTTATGTCTTGCTATTCACAAGAACAAAGGAAAAAAGAATGTGACTATTTACTTGGAGTTTCTGCCAACAGCATTCCTGATGAGTGGGGCTTTTTGGTTTTGTTGTCTTGTTTAGGTTTTGGTTGGTTGGTTGGTTTGTTTTTAAAGAGGTGTCAATGAAGACTACCTTTAACAAATTGTTTTACTTTCGGTCATTTCTCTGTAGTCATCCAACACATTCACATCTTTAAATTTACTGGTGTTAATATCTGCAATTTTGAAATCATGGAAAACAAAACAGACCACAGAAAGAATTTATACTATTACTAATATCCTTTAAATACTCTTCTGTACACATTGAGCAACATTTCAGAAATGTCAAACTGCAGTTGTGGCCCAGGTTTGGGTTTTTTTGTTTGTTTTTGAATTTTTGTTTGGAAGAGTTTTGCAGAGGTCTAACCAAAATGAAAACTGCAGAAAGGACAAAATTACTAGATTAGAATACTTAAGCAAAGCCTAAAACAAAATGAAACAAATGTACTTTTAAAATTTAGCTACCTTATGGAAAGCACTTGTTCCCAGCATGCAATACTCCATCTTTTTCCTACAGAAAAAGCAACGTTTCAAACCCTTATTCTAAAAGCTGTTCCTTTTCCCTACGTAATATACCCCCACACACTTAAACCCACTACTCTAGTCCATTGCCTTTGTTAGGTATGTATCACGATCCCATGGTTTTCATTCCAGTAATTCAACCCCGAATTTCTTAATATCCATAATACTAAAAGGGAAAGGCTGCAGCAGAGTAAAACAGCATAATCAAAACAATGCATGCAGTTTGGCAACAAGTTAGTGCATAAAATTCAGATTATGCTAAAAATTACTTCATTAAAAAGTGCAGGATAGCTCTCTACTAGACAGCCTGTTTTTAAGCATTAAATATTTCTCAGTAACAGTTATCATTAAAATCAGAAAGCAATGAGAATCCAGGATCAACATCATCAGTGCAACCCAGACACTGTAAATCTTTAAAATAGTTTTAATTTCTCTATCGGCTGTGTGCCAGTACTACATTACTGTTGTTTACTAAAGCAAACTTAACTTATTAACTTTTTAAACGTACATTATCTTTATAATTTTATCAGTAACCTGATTCTACTCCAAGAACAACAGCATGTTAAAGTAAATCATATTTCATGCAAATGATTCATTCTCCCCCCACCCACCCACCCAAGGCAAGCAATGACATTGAAAATCTGTCATTTTTAAAAAACCTCTTTCGGGACTAATTGTTATATTTTCTTTCATTTGTTGTTTTTTTGGGTTTTTTTGTTT